ATTATTGAGTTTTCTTATACTCATGTTGAAGTACTTCTTTGAATATGAGTATTTTGTTGTATTCTTCCTTTGGATTATATGTACTTTTTTTTTCCTCCTCCTTTTCTTTCTTCTTCTTCTTCTTCTTCTTTTTTTTTTTTTTTTTTTTTTTTTTTTTTTTTTTTTATCTAATGAGGACTTGAGTTTGATTGTTCATGTTATCCAAAGCCTTCAATTGTTTTGGTTTTCATTTCATTTGCATTTGTTGATTCAATTTTTAAAACATTTTTGCTTAATCTTCCTTGGTCCTGTTTCTTGAAAAAATTTAGATGGTATTTGTATGTCAACTTGTTTCTGTGAGTTTTGGATTGCTATTTTTTCTTTTTTCTTTCTCCATTGTATTTGTTTTTTGAAAGTTTGTTCATCTCGAGAAACTTGAGTCCATGAAAGGAAAGTCTTAACAAAAATGTTATAATGTTAATGAAAGAAGAAGTGTCTTTTTTCTTACAATGCAAAATGCTGGAAGGTTATTCCTTTTGTGCTTGATCCATGTGGATTACAAAATGATAATTATATATATATAAACAATTATATTTTAGTGATGATCAAATGATTGTTAGGTTTCGTTCAACAAATTAACAATTATTGAGTTTTCTTGTACTCATGTTGAAGTACTTATTTGAATATGCGTATTTTGTTGTATTCTTCCTTTGGATTATATGTACCTTCTTTTTTATTTTTTTTCCCTCCCTCTAATGAGGACTTGAGTTTGGTTGCTCATGTTATTCAAAGCCTTCAATTGTTTTGGTTTTCATTTGATTTGCATTTGTTAATTCAATTTTTAAAACATTTTTACTTAATCTTCCTTGGTCCTATTTCTTGAAAAAATTTAGATGGTATTTGTATGTCAACTTGTTTTTGTAAGTTTTGGATTGCTATTTTTACTTTTTTCTTTCTCTATTGTATTTATTTTTTTAAAGTTCGTTCATGTCGAGAAACTTGAGTCCATGAAAGGAAAGTCTTAACAAAAATGTTATAATGATGTTATTCCTTTTGTGTTTGATCATGTGAATTACAAAATGATTATATATATACATAAACAATTATATTTTAGTGATGATCAAAGGATTGTTGGGTTTCGTTCAACAAATTAACAATTATTGAGTTTTCTTGTACTCATGTTGAAGTACTTATTTGAATATGAGTATTTTGTTATATTCTTCATTTGGATTACGTGTACTTTTTATTTTATTTTATTTTTTATTTCCTAATGAGGACTTGAGTTTAGTTGTTCATGTTATCCAGAGCCTTTAATTATTTTGGTTTTCATTTGATTTGCATTTGTTAATTCAATTTTAAAAACATTATTACTTAATTTAGATAGTATTTGTATGTCAACTTGTTTCAGTGAGTTTGGATTGCTATTTTTTCTTTTTTCTTTTTTCTTTTTTATTTCTCCGTTGTATTTATTTTTTGAAAGTTCATTTATCTTGAGAAACTTGAGTCTATGAAAGTAAATACTTAGCAAATATGTTATAATGTTATAGAAAGAAGAAGTGTATTCTTTCTTATAATGCAAAATGCTGGAAGATTATTTGTTTTGTGTTTGATTCATGTGGATTACAAAATGATAATTATACATATATATATTTGATTAGAATCTATATTTTAGAATTTATCTTAATATACATGGTTTTGAGTTTAAAGCCCAAGAAACGAAATAAGATATCTTTTGATGCATGATGATCATTTAAAATATTTGAACGTGAAAATATATGAGAATTGCTCTACTGAGAGATTTATACATAGAATGATTATAAATAGAAGTGTGATAAAACTAAAAAAATATTTAATACAAGTAACAAAAACACAAATTAAAAATAGAAGCTCATTTGTGATATAAATGACATATGAAGATATATTTTCATATTCCTGTTGGGATTTACATGTCATGACATAGCAAATTTCTATTTGGATTAAAGTGACATATGTTCCTGACGTATTTGAAATATTTATACTTTATACAATTGGTGAATTCAATGTATTATGTTTCGATTTATTATGGAATTGATAGTGTCCACTTGATTACAAGAGATATTTATATATGTATGTGATGACGATCAATACATGAATATAAATAGTAATCATAAATTGTTCATAGTCGGTAATTATGGATGGACTCATAATTAATTAAGACTTGAACTGGATCCGCGTTAGGTTGAGATATATTGCGAGAGCCGTTGTATGCAATTGCTCCCTATCACTGTCATGACATTTGACTATTAAACATGAGAGAAATATAGACTCTTTTATTAATTAGTAATTACTTTGATTTGTTCAGCGGAATCCTTAGGCCACTTTGGGTAATTATGCAATTAATAGTTAGAGGATTATATTTTCAATATTTGCATCATTGCTACTTGTATTTATTTTGTATCGATTATGGTTGATCACAAAGTAAATTCGAAGGCCTTCGTGTGTTTTTAGACAAAATGATTTATTATATATTTATTTATTTAAATTATTATTTTTGTCAAACAAATATTTTATTGTGATTGAGTTAGAAATAATCAAAGGTAACAAAATAAATATATTAAATAAGTAGTCGGATTGATGACTTTATTTATCCGATAACCAATTATGCATAGAGGAGTCAAAGTGCAACATTGACTTAGAGGTTATTTATTATTTAATTGGAGTTCAATTAATTTCTTTTAGTGGAGTAGATATTAATTAATAAATTAATTTAATTGGGTTTATGGACCGGGCTAATTATTAATTCATTGTTGCCAAGAAAATAATAAGCCCAATAGGATTCTCACTCATAACCCAACTTGATATTAGAATCCTATTAGATTTGAGATATGTAAATTAGAGATGGAGAATGGTTTATCGCTTTCTTTTTTGATTTTTATGTTGCCTATATATACATGGGTTCATGTATATTTTAGAAGAGACTTTTGGAAAAGAAAAAGGAATATATATTTTTTCTCTCTCTAGATTTTAGGGTTTACTTTCTCATATAATGAAGCCTATTTTTTCCAAGGTCACTCATGGAGGCTTATGAGTGATTCCTAAATGCAAGACCATTATCAAGAAGATGAAAATCCATGAAAAAGGTATCTAACAAAGGAATCTACAATAAGTGAGAACATTCACTTTAGAGGAGAGATCTAAGGTTTACTCAAACCTTAAATGTAAGTATTCAATTTATTAATTGAATGATACATCATATTTTATTTTTGCATAAAACTTGTCTCTATGTAATAAATCAAAATTTATGAATCAAAATCTTTCGAAAAGTTTTTAAAATTTGCACGTTTCCTAACAATTCCTTACTTCACATTGAAAAGCATCAAATTAATCAAATAAATTATAGTTTATCAACTTAATCATTGATCAAATAATTTTTTTTAAAAATTTATTATAATCTTATTAATAACTTGGATTTACACCAAGTGCACAACTAACTTGTGTAAATATTTACAGAAAAAAAACTTGTGTGAATGGTGTAGAATAAAAATAAATAAATGGATTTAGAAAAAAAAAAAAAAGGAAAAGAAAAGGAAAGGAAAGAATCCATTAGTTATAAAAAGAAATATAAATATATATATATATATATATATATATATATATATATATATTTATAAATAACTACCCTTGTTCTTTTTTTTTTTTATTTTTTATTTTTAAAATCTCATTCCATCTTGTGTGAATGGATTCTTTTGCCGCGTTTCAGACCATAGTAATCTTATTTTTTGCCTGACCATGATGCGTGTTAAAACTCCGAACACGAGAATTAGGTACAATTCAAAATCTCAACACGGCCTCTCCGTCTTAATTACATGGCTTTCTGCCAAAGTCACTCTAAGAAACAAGAATTTTGGGCATTACAAGTATGACAATGCCACGATGAGTATAACCTAGCTATGTGGACGCAATTGTTGGCAGTGGTTTGATACCAAAGGGTAATGCTAAGGCTAAGAAGACTGTAAGAGTGACTAAATTACTCTAACTACACGAGTTAATTTAAAGTACTTGTGAATATGTTGGGTGTGAATCAAATTATACCGGAAGAATCTGACCGTCTAACCGGTCTAACTAAGTTGATTGGTTGCGCTTGTGAAAACAACAAATATTGAATTATCGAGTGGTATTGCATTATATGTGTATAATTTGTTTACTCATTTTAAATTTTATTTTTCTAAAGACTGTAGACTATTGATATTGGTTTGATTCCAAAGGCTAAGAAGATCAGAAGAGTGACTATATTACTCTAACTGTATGAGTTAATCTAAAGCATTTATGAATATGTTAGGGTATGATTCAAATTATACCGGAGGAATCTAATTGTCTAACGGGCTTGTGAAAACTGTGAACATTGAATTACCCATTGCAATGTTTCGACCGGTGGCATTGCGTGATATGTGTATAATTTGTTTGCTTATTAGAGATTTATTTTTTTAAAGACTAGTAGGACACTAGTAAGGGAAATAGAGACGATTTTATTTTCCTAAACACTGTAGTAGGACAGTAGTAAGACTAGAGACTTTATTTATAAATTGAAGAATTTATAAATAGAGGCGATGGAGTTCAAGAGTTGGGTGGAGAAAATAAAAAACATTTGTGTGGGTGGATGAAAAGAGGAGAAGAGATAGGAGATCGTTATAATATGTTGTTTTTATTAATGAAAGGGGATTTAATTCAGGTAATACTCCTAACTTTTAAATCTTGCCGTGATTATTTGTTTTATGTGATACACATAAATCTTGTTGGAAAACAATTTTAATAGTAAATAAATAATTAATTAGTGTTTTAGGCTTGACTTATGGGCTCAAATATATTGATGAAATTTCTTTTATTTCTTTCATTTCTAAACTGAGATGTCCTATTTATTTATTTTTAAGGTTTAGTAGTTTTTTTTTTTTTTTTAATTAAAAAAATAGAGTAAATAAATCCATCAAATTATGGATATTTATACTCCGCGCGCCAAATTTTACACTTCCATGATATCATTATTCCGCATCTCCCAAGTCCTAACTAAACGTTCTTCCCTCGTTTTATTCTTGACTGGTAGCTAGGGTTTCTTCTCTCTCTCCTAACTCATTTCTGTGTCTCTCTCTCACTCATATCCTCATTATGAAAATCTTCGAGTTTCTAATCCTATACAGATCATGGACACCATCGAAACTTCTTCAGATAATCACATCGACAGTGAAGATTTACCGATTGGAAACCATATATTCTCTGATGAAGATAATCACATCGACGGTGAAGATTTTCTGATTGGAAACGATAAAATATCCGATGAAGATAATTATATAGACGGTGAAGATTTATCGATTGGAAACGATGAATTTTCCGATGATCTTCGCGAATTACAGATTAAAAACGACTCTCTTGTTGCGGAGCTCGAAGCTCTTCGCACATCGTACCATAGCCTCCAATCGAAAACGACGGTCACGGATGAAAACTTAGCCCTACTCCAGCAGCAAAAAGACGAAGCTGTGAAGCACAATGTCGATCTTGCAAAGGTTATTGAGGAAGTCTCGAGAGAAAGAGACACTCTTCGCGACGAGCTTGGTGGACTCGAGGTGTCTTCGAGAGAGCGAGAGGATGAGTTGGTGAGAAAGTTTGATGAGCAATTAAGGGAAAAGGAAGATGTTCTGAACGAGCTCGGAGCTTCTAGAGAGACAATTAAGGAGTTGTTTGACGAGAAGAGTGAGTTAGTGAGAAAGTTTGACGATGAATTGAGGGAAAAAGAAGATGTTCTGATCGAGCTTGGAGCTTCTAGAGAGAGAACCAAGGAGTTGCTTGACGAGAAGAGTGAGAAAGTTAGGGTTTTATTGGAGAATTTGGAATCCCTTAAATCGGTCAAGGAGTGTCTGATAAGGGTAATTGACAGCATGGATGAAGATGAAGTTGGAGTTACTATTGATGAAGGAGAGGAAATGAGAGAAGAATCGGAAGTAGATGAAGAATTGAGGGCATTTTTGGTAGAATCAAAGGCGGTTTCAAAGTTTGCGAGCTTGGTGGAGTTGAAGTTGATTGCAAATCAGGAGATGAGGAAGAAAGAGAAGAGGGAGTTGGAGAACAGTGTAGTGAGTTTGACAGAGGAGAATCGGGACATCAATAGCTTGCTTAGGATTGCTTTGGTGGAAAAAGACGCAGTTGAGAAGAGTTTGAATAGGCTAAAAGGAAACAGTGAACAGAAGAAGGGGGCGATTTTGCAGATTGCTGAGAGAGGGTTGCAGAGGGTGGGGTTTGGATTCATGATGGGGGCTGGAACCAATGAGACATCATTGGATAATATGGGAGCTAATACGGTCGGAAAATCAGATGGCAGTGAAGGCGAAGAGGAGGGTGTTAGCCTGGTATGACTCTGCTTCTCTTTATCTGTTCTGGAACTCAACGTAGTCTATTACTTTATGTACTGTGTGTATATGTGTGAGCATTAGCCTATATTAATGCCTAAATTTTGTGACTCAGTTGGCATGATATTCTGACCCCTACATGGCATCTCAGAGACTGCACACAAACTCTGGGTTGCATCATTGAGAAAGTGGTTCTTGAACAAAATTAAAAAGAGTGAGCCGTAATGGTAACATGATTTTTCTAACAAATAGGAAGAGAGGCATTAGTAAGATATTCTTCAATCACTACTGCAAGATACCCCAATTCCCTGTTGCATGACATCCAACGACCTGCCATTTGGACGGATTTGAACTGAAAAACCTTAATTTTTTTACATCAGACACTTCATTTAAATTTTTTACCCCTATTACTTTCACTGATGACAAACTGCCCTAGCACAATTACAGGGAAATTGAAGATATTTATAGCCTTATTGTGGCGCTACTTTTTGGTTGTTCATTTCGTAAACTCTTTGATGAAATTTCTCAATAGATCCTCGTATCACACCTGATAACCTCTATTCTGAAAAGTAATTCAATCGATGATGATTATCTTAGAAGTTTCTGCTGCTGCTATATGGATTTCAAATTGGCAGGCAGTCAAACTTTGCACTTTTTGCAAATTTTATGTGATCGTGTTTTCAAATTAGAATATGATTGGATCATAACTCTTTCCTCTTTCGGGTAAGTAAGTAGATGGCAAATTTTCTCATAGAAAAACCATGAAATAAATTTTATAATGCGACTTCATTAATATAAAATTCTTATGCAGTCTGGGTTCATGTATTACCGTTGTGCAATATAAACATTTATATGGTTTCTGTATTGTCTGAAACTGCTGATGGTTCATTATGTCAATACATTATTATCATTGTGCAATATAAGCATTTATATGGTTTCTGTAATTGTTCTTGCCAGGCCTCAACTGTGGAGAGGATAATGAAGAATCTACGACTTGAAATCACCCAATTAAGGAGATCATTGGAGGATTCTAGGTAATTCACAATCACAAGGCAGCAAATACTGTATAGGTTACATTCATGTCTCAGCCTATTTAAAAAAAAAAAAAAATGTTAGTGTCTCGTGATGTTTTGGGTTGTGTACTTGTTATCCCTCTCTCCCAACAAGAGAGGAAAATGAAAAAAAATTCCTTAACTAGGTTGAGTTTCACTTACTTGGTTATGGATTCTTAATTACCTATTCTTTGCCAGGTCAGACACTGAGCGCCTACAGAGTCTCACAGAGAAACAAGCTCAAATAATTGCAGAAAACACATCATACATAAAAGAGATGGAAGATAGAGAGATAATAGTAGCTCAAAATGTGAGTTTCTGTTTTATATAGGGAGGAGGAGATGCTACTATATTTTCATTCCTAAGCATATACCTTGTAACTTTTTATTGATGACATTTTCTTTTCTCCTTTGTCTATAAGATTGAGGAACTCCTGATGGAAATAAAAGAAACTGAAGAAGAAGTTGCTAGATGGAGGGAAGCTTGTGAGTTGGAAGTGGAAGCTGGAAAGAATGTCATTGAAGAACGTGACAAAGTGGTATAGTTTATTCCTCTCTTCTCTCTCTCTCTCTCTCTCTCTCTCTTAAATGTGTGTGTGTGGGTGGGGGGAATCAACTGGTTTGTCATGTTACTGCTTTATTTGATGTGCGCTTTTTCTTGATTTACCATTAGTATCAACTGATTTAAAGCTTTCTCTCTTTCTTTCTTTCTTTGATTTTGTAACTTTTTATATTAAAACGTTTTTCTTCAAAGCATCTTCTTTTGTTGAAGATCATTATAAAGCCTTTTGGGAATTTACCTTTTCTGATGGCAAAAATGGCATGGCCGACCCTATCAATATGGGACAAAGGCAAGATGATAATGACAAAAACGGAAATATGATATTGGCTGTACAATCCATCTTGATTATAGCAACTCCGTGCTAGGGATGTTCACTCTTGAACTAAGTTAGTGATTAGAAGCTAATAAAACTTATGAAGTGGTTTGTGGCTTATAGGACTTACGGTGTGGCTTGAGACATGAATTCTCTACATAATGTTTCAGTTGGTAATTTTATTCACCTTGTAAATATTTAGTAATACTTGAAAAAGAAAAGAGTACGCTATTTGCCAATAATATTGTTTTAGTCGATGAGACTAGAGAAGGGATTAATAATACCAAATTGGAGGTTTGGAGAGAACCTTCAGAACTAAAAGGGTTTAAGATAAGTAGAAATGAAATTGATTATATGGAATATTTAATTTTAGTAAATCTAAAAATACAAATGAGGATGTAGTGAGGATTCAGAATCAAGAGGTACAAAAAAGTGAACGTTTTCACTATTTAGGCTCAATTATTCATAATGAAGGAGACATTGGAGAGGACGTCAATCATAGAATCAAGGCAGGATGAGTAAAATGGAAGAGTGCATTGAGTATATTGTGTGATGGGCGTATCCCCTTATGATTGAAAGGGAAGTTCTATCGAACAACTATTAGACCAACCATACTTTATGGCACAGAGTATTGGGCAACTAGGAAACAACATATGCATAAAGTGGGTGTGATAGAAACGTGAATGTTGAGATAGACGTGAAATAAGATTATAAAGAATATAATTAGAAATGATCACATTCGGGAGATGGTTGGAGTAGTACAAATTGGAGATAAAATGAGAGAAAATCGGTTAAGATGGTTTGGGCATGTGCAAAGAAGATCTTTAAGTTTGAAGAGACATAGTCCACATTGAGGATAATACTAGGGGAAGAGCAGAACCAAAGTTAACGTGGGTAGAGTTAGTAAGGAAGGATGGTAGCATTGGATGGAGCGAGGCTATGACCTTAAATAGAGCGGAATGGAAATATAGGATTCATGTAGCTGACCCCAAGTAGTTGGGAAGAAGGCTTGATTGTTGTTGTACTTGAAAAGGAAAAGAAGTTTTGAATATGCTCAATACAGTTCCAAATTAGGAAGGCCGAAGCTGTTGTATCATTCTAGTCAAGTGCTGGCATGACATTGAAACTTTAAAGGTAATGGGTGGTTTAGGCCGTTTGATTCTTAGCATTGATCCAGGAAAAAGTTAGAAATATGATTCAGCGTTTGATGAATCTTCATGCAAACCAGAAGAAAGAAAAATTAAAAGGCACCTTGAAAGGGTGGGATAACTTTTATCTACAGTATACAGTTACAAGTCATTTCACCCTTCTATTGATGATTTTATATGCATGTGATGTTGGTTATTATAGAATCTATCACTGATATCTATTTATTTATAGGGACATGCATTTTTAGGACAGTGGTCTTTGAACTCAACGTTGTAGGACATCATTTTTTAGCTGCCAGGCTCGTTCATGACTGAAGCTGTTGTATTTGTATATATGTGTGGGAGGAGGTGGAGGATGTGTGGGGTTAGCGATTGGGGTAAGGGATGGTAATAAATGTCATTTGCATGTAAAAGAAGTGCTTGGAGTATAATTGGGTGCAAATCTAATAGAGGAGCAAGGCCGAACATAGTCACATTTTTGTCTGATCATTTGGTAATGTTGAAACTAAATTTGGCATAAATTTGGGTTGCCTTGGTTGAGCAAGATTTACATACAATCCCTTTCACCAACCTGAGATCACCTATATGTATTAAAAAAAAAATATTACAAATATCTTTGGAAGATAGTGGATTAGAGTTGTATCAATAAGGTCTGGGTAATATAACCCAACCTTGACTTTACAGCAAGTCTGTTTCTTTGACTCCTATTGTCTATACGTCTGTTGAAGGTTCATATAATGTAGAAATCAGATTTGGTGATGCATCAATATCGGATTGTTTTGGTTTGGGTAAGTTTAAACAGATTTATCTCCAATTCCAATTCAAGGCACTAATTCCATGCAACCAAACATAGCATGAAAGTAATTGAGCTAGACTTGGATAAATTTAGCCGTGGAGCCAGAATCTCACTTGTAGTGCGATATATCTAGAAACCTGAGATTTCTATATGTTGTTGGTTACTTTTATGTACTTGTGAAGCTCATTCTTGTTGAAAACTTTTTTTATTTTTTTAAAACATTAATTGTGAATAATTATATATCTTTTTGAACGTTTGGTGTGCAGGAATGGAATGGAATGCCCATTCCAACCATTTATTTGTTTGGTATGCAATTTAAAGTGGGAATGGCTATTCCATTGGAATGAAAATCCATTCCACAACTAAATCTATGGAATGACCATTCCATTCCCAAGTAAATTTTTAAAAGAAATCAACTTCTCAAAAAATCCGTCATGTTCAAGTCCAAACCACCTCCGCCTTTCACCACCACAACCACTGACTTCTACCACTACCACCGCCTTCCACCACCACCACCACCGCCACCGACTTTCACCATCGCCAACCGCTTTCCACCGACACCGCCTTCCTTTGCTGCAACCACCGCTACCGTCATCGCCTTTCACCACCGCCACCACCACCTACGCCACCGCCTTTCACTACCACTACCGTCTTCCACCGCCACTGCCTTCCGCTACTACCACCTTTCACAATAGCCACAATCACCACCGCCACCGCCACCGCCTTTCACCACCGCCACCGCCACTGCCTTCCACCGACTTCCATCACCATTGCTGCCATCGCCACCGCCACCGCCACCGCCACCGCCATCGCCACCGCCACCGCCTTCCACCACATTCCACCACCACCGTCACCTTCCACCACCACCACAGCCAACTTCATTAGCTTTCACCACTGCCACCTACACCACTATCTCCTTTCGCCACCACCACCGCCGCCGCCTTCCACCATTGTCACCTACACCACTACTGTTTTCCCCACCTCTACCACCATCCACCACTGCCGCTGCCACCATTTATTTTTTTAAAATTATAGAAGAATGTTATTTTGTTAATTTAATTTATTTGTTATTAAGAGGGATATTTTGGAGAACTCAATTTGAAATTTATTCCATTCTAAATTTTAAATTGGTCCAACCAAACACTACAATGATTATTATCATTCCATTCACATTCTCATTCCATTCCCTCTTGCATTCCATTCTTGCACACCAAACGCAGCATAAAGGTCTAATTATCACTTGGATACGGCATTAACTAATAATCGCTTCAGAAGAATCTGGATTTAAATATACGTGGTTCATATATACAACAGCAATGCCTGGAATCTAATGCTCAAAATTCTCTTAAAGATCTTGTTAGTTTATCCCCTCTCTATCTCTCTGCTATTTTCCCCCTTAAGGTGTGCTGTAACTTATGCTAAAAGATTGCATCTCTATTAGGCTTTTATTCTGAAACAAGAATTGGAAAAAACAAAGGCTGCTTTAGAAGTATCAAATGGCAAACTAAAGCTGAAAGATGAACTAGCTGCCGCTGCCATGGCTGCCCAAGCAGCAGCAGAGAGGTCTCTCCAGCTGGCTGACAGCAGGGCTGCTGGACTGCGTGAGCGGATTGAGGAGCTAACAAGACAATTAGAAGAAGCAGAAAGCAGGGAGCGAAGTAACCGTAAGGTTAGGTACATTTGTTGGCCATGGCGAGCCCCCAAAGAGAACCCTGCTAATGATACAAACACTAGATTTCAGAATGTGAGACGGATGCTACCAGAAATGCAAGCCTTGCTTCATTCTAACGTGTGACATCTTAATATCTTTTCTCAACCTTGTTAAATGTTATTTGTTCTCAAATTGCTTGATTTACTGTATAATCCACTTATCAATAATTTTTGCTTTTCAATTTCCCTCTACTGTTTATATTTCTTATTATCCTTCCCCAGCTCTAATTATCTAAAATCTATATATGGCTTGTTTGTTCCTTTTAAAAAGATGTACTCTGTAGTATCTAGTTATTATTGTGTTGCAAGTATAACGAATGCCTGCACACTACCGTTACTATTTTTTCAAGTGTAACAAATGTTCTTCTACTCCTTGTTATGAGAATTCAATCTTGTGAATTTCTGTATTTTCCTGATTATATATATTACAAATTTAGATGACCAAATCTTTAGATTCATAACCGTGAGTCTCAGCGGTAGAATATGGATTTGCAAAGGTTTTTAATGCGATTGCTCCTACTTATCAGTGGTAGAACATTTGCAAAGGTTTTTAATGCGATTGCTTCTGCTTATCGTTTTTGCAGTAACATATCCATGTGCTGGAAATATTAAATTGGTTGTATGCCAGTATCAAGGTATTATATGAACAAAATGTAATTAAGGGTGGGACAAACTTTTTCTTTATTATAACTTTAACGTTACCCATGGTTTGAACACTTATTCAACATTGGTTTGAAAAATAAAAAAGGAGCATACAGAATAATTGTGTGAAAGAAGTGAATTTATCCGGTTGTACAATTTTTTTTACCAGAAACATTCGAAAAATGTAAAATATAATTTAATCATAGTAAATTATGACACACTCTCCCCAATACCAATGAAAATTCCAGTCTTCATATAGGCATATTTGACGGTTAGGATACATTACAATCAATTAATAAAATTTATATAAACTCTTATATAATTTTTTATATAATTATAATTTACAAACATGTTATACAAACAACTTGCACAGTTTTGTTCATTACCGGCGTGTTGCTTGCGTGACGCAATTTTTTCCGTTTATTGCTTGCGTGGCGTAATTTTCTCCGTACCGACCGAGTGTAACATTGTGCATATATATATATATATATATATATATATATATATATATTATTTTCAAAGAGAAAAATAATGATCTCTTTAAAATGAATGATATCAACGTTTTAGGAAAAAAAAGAAAAAAAAATGATATCTCACGTGTTTCTAATTTGCGTTTGGACAATAACATATGCACGTATCAAAATCTTACCCTAATCCCGGGATATATATATGAGATGAGAAACGAAAACGAACTTCAGAGCCAAACTATTCCCCGCCATTCCTATCATTTTGTTGCATCCATGTTCTATATTGCTGTTTTAGTTAAATTTGATGTTTTTCTGTCTACTTGTAAAATAATAGTAATGCAATAAAAAACAATGACATTTGCAATCTAGCTTATGTTTAAAACTTATTCAGTTGGCTTTTACATATTCATATATTGAATTTTGAAAGAGTAAAGATGGAAAGTCTCACAGTTGTAATCATCGCTATTTGAATTTATTTATTTCTTTTTGTTGTTGTTGTCATTAATAAAAATTTTACAGACCTCCTTTATTTTTTTGGAGTCTCAAATTTTTACCATATATTTTGAAAAGTAGTGGAGATATGACTGAGACACGATACTTGCTATTTGATTCAGACTTGTTCTAAAAATTTACAGAGTATTTGTTCACACGAACAAAGGTTAAAAAAAAACTCCTAAAATTATTTCAATAAACCTTGCCCTTTTTTACCTGCATTTCGAAAGATATGAAAGATCTTCGTCCAAGCGCATTCAGTTGGGCTAACTATTTATGTGGGCTTGTGCTAGTCATTTAATGTTGGGCTTGTGCTTGTCTTCATGATTACCCAACCCAGCCTATTCGCGGTTCCGCTGAAGCTTGGAAGGTTTTTAACTAGGGTTTTCTAAAACCCGATATCTGCTAACTATTTTTCTCCTCTGTTTCATTATTCTTTCATCGTTAAAATCACAAAATTTCTTCTTTCTGAAACAATCCCATTGCAGAAACGAGTAAGTTGATCAATTAATTTCGTTAATTTATAAGTTTTCTGATATATACATGTGTATTTGTAGATAAATACGACTTCGTTTAGAACTGAAATTTGTCCACCGATTCCTGGCTTTTTATGTTGGAGCAGGTGTTTCCTTCAGGATTTTTTATTTCTGAAGCTCAGTTATATATAAATCAATCGGTTGGAGATAAATTAATGGATGAGAAGGGAGGAAATAATAGTGTGAAGAAGATAATGTCACCTTGTGATGTTGAGGCTCTCAAGAAATGCTTGGAAGAGAACAAAGGGGACTACGTTAAATGCCAATCACAGATTGAAGCTTTTAAGTCTTCATGCTCTATCAAGAAACCGAATTCGGAACCGAAGCTCAAGACTGGTGTGGTCTCTGATCTCTGAATTTGCAGTTGTTGAATTTGAACTTGAACTGTAACCCATTTGTATTATCTTAAATTAATTTTCTTTCATATTTGGAAATTGAATTTGGAGGAAGCTGTGGAGTAGTACAAGTCTACTTCTATTTGATGTCAATAAGTGTAGTAGCTGAGCTCTAAAGAATTAAATATGTTGTTTTAAAGTTGTTTTTTATTAATGAAATAAAAAAAGTTTACCCCATTTACTAGCTTAATGTAATTGGTTTTGTTCCATTCAATGAGATTTTATATTCTGATATTGTGTTGGCTTGGCCCTAATAGGGTTATTGTTTGTTGTAATGGTAAAAGATCAGGCTGCCAAGTTTACGATAAGAACCGAGCTAGTTTGTTCCATTTTTTTTTTCTTTAATAAAGGCTATACATGGAATAACAGGGACCTTATGGAGTCTAATTTGGGGTTTCTATGAACTAAGCTTTCAAATGATCCAAGTTAGTTCTATCGATTGAGGATCTTAGTGCTTTTATTCTAAACAGCACAAAAAGTGACATTGAGGTTTGTTTGGCCATATAAAGCAATATTAATTTCACAGAAATGAGTTTCCATTTATCAATTGAATGTGTTATCTCTATTGTTGCATCCATCATTCAACATTTTAAAGAATTGAAACTCAACAATGGATGCTGCTATGTTACACCACCTCTGGCTCTAAACAAAGCAGTTTAGTTTAAACATTGTTAACATATAAATTAATATCACCTTCCATATTACCCACTGGGCCATATATTTTGATACTCAGATAACCACGAGCACTGTGCAAACAACAATATCTGATTTGTGATTCTCCAAGATACCTGAGGTTCACCCTTATCATCTTTGTGTTCCCTTTTTGTTTTTATCTTCACTCAGTTACTCCATAAAAATGCCATTTACTTTTGATTTTATCTTTCTTTGCAGTTGTGCAAGTACACAATGAAGTTAACAGCTACATAGACAGCCATGTGGTTAGGTTCTATACAGGCAATTTTTGTGACCTCTTGGGTTACAGTTGAAAAAACTCAACAGGATTAAATTGTTGTGTTCGCTTTCTCTGCACAATTCTTAGTTTTTGCATATACAGTAATTGAATTAATTCATGTTGCTAGAGAATGTTGTTAAGTGATTTGAAGGTTGGTATGAGTCTTTTATCATAATTTTAATTTGTTTGAGTTTCCTTTTTTTGGCAATTCAGTAGATTTAATTTAACATTAAATTGTTCACTTTCCTCATATAATGGTGATTTGAAGTTCGTGGCATATGTGTATGCAAAAACTGAGATTGGCCGTTTATTTATGGTTTTATTTTTTAAGATACAAAATCTGCAACCAAGTAATAATGTTGCAGATCTACCATTAATTCTAAAAAAGTGTATGTTTGTATTTGATGAACATTTCTAACAAATATCGGGTGTATGTCCTCCTGCCCACTGCAAATTGAATGTAGGCAATGCAGGAACAGCTGTGGTTTCATTAGTTTACTTGTGGGGACTGTTGATTCTTTCTTTTTCTTTTTCCTTTCTAGATTGGAGTAAACACTAATTTAATTTGTCTTAGTGAGACAACCATGAAAACAGGAATTTTTTTCCTCTATTACCTGAATTTGTTTGTATAAAAAATAGCTTACCTAAAAGTCATACTTGTTTGACATAGTGATGGGGTTAGCAAAGACTTCCTCTGGAAGAATCTAAGCTCAAGAGCCTATGAGTAACAGAATTGACAAAGGACAGATGACCAGCACACTTCCATCATTCCTGCCTGTTGCCGCCCATTTGCTTACAAATTAACAAATCCAAGCATCCTCCTCACTGACCTTCTTCACACACAAATCCAAGAAAAAAGAATATTCCTTCCAGAAGTAGCAAAATTGTAGTGTCAACCTTTACATTAATGCCTTTCTATGATATTTGTACTTGAAAACTATAAACTTGCCCCAAAGCCTTGGTCACATCAATATAGTAATCAGTACTGATAATATATAAATACCATTTATTTATGGTTGCCTCATAATTCATATATCATTGTATTGGTGTGTATGCTTTTATATCCGTTGATCTGTTCGAGTGAGTTACTTGTTTCTCATCTCATTTGTGCTTTTGAGTTGATCCTGATCGAGATTTTCATAAATGCATATCATATGATACAATTCCCTGATATTAAACTATACTAGTAGAATTCTGTAATTGCATATAAATGTATTTATTATTAATCTATAGTTTTATGCATTGAATATTTGTATGTCTATATGTATAATGCATTTCTCTATATATCTAACCAACTAGCTTCTTTAACAGCCTAACCCAACTGAACAAACTGACTTATATCTCATATTTTAAACAATAATGTCTGGATCTCAGACTTCCATAGCACTTCCTGTTTTTGACATCTCGCAGCCCTTTAACCCATCCTTGCTCTCCTCCCTCTTTCTAGCCTGCAAAGAATGGGGTTTCTTTCACATCATCAACCATGGAATCTCCAAGGAGCTTTACAGTAAACTCTGTTCCCTTTCAAACCATCTTTTCAACCTCCCTGCCGAGATGAAACTCAAAGCTGGTCCCTCATCAACAATCAAAACCTATACTCCTCATTTCATTGCCTCCCCTTTCTTCGAGAGTCTAAGGGTATCTGGACCCAACTTTTTTGCCTCTGCCAAGAGTTCCGTTGAAGTCCTCCTTAATGAGCCAGATTCAGAATTCAGGTACAGAAAACAACATATTAAACTTATGAACCTTTTTTACCACCCATGAATTTGTTTTGTCATGGCATTTGAAGAAAAAAACGTCTCCTTTAGAATGGAGATATTACTAAAAGTGGAATTATTACCACAACGATACTTAGAAGTTGTAATTACGTTTTTATTTTCTTCTTAAAATAGAAGGATGGTTTTCACAATTTCAAGAAGAGGATATCTCGAAAGCTATCTTTACATTGTAGACTTGATTCATAGCTAGTGCTCCTCACTGCATTATGTTTCTTCCTTTATTTATCCAGTTATTTTCCACATACTCAAATTTCCGTTGCCGTTCAGATTTGTTTTTAGCCATCATTACATCTTTTAGGTTCCCAATTGGCAAAATTTCACATTTATTTGCTGGTCTTAATAGGATATTGTAAATGTCATATAAAGTAGAAACAAATGGTTATGTTTTTACGTAGTTTGCATTACCCTTTTACTATTTGTATGCATCTCAAACTTTATCTTGTTTTTGTTAGTTATCTACTTGTTTCTTTTGCTAGTGAGATATCAAAAGAGTACGGGGACCAGATGACAAAGCTATCAAAAAGAATTGTGGAGCTTGTACTGATGTGTTTGGGGAATGATTTTGAGAGGAAATTTGAATCTGAATTCAGTGGCTGTCATGGTTATTTGAGAATTATCAACTACTCGCCACCCGAGTTCGTTATGGAAAAAGAAGTTGAGGGTCTTGGCATGCACACTGACATGAGCTGTGTAACAATTGTCTATCAAGATGAGATTGGTGGTCTCCAGGTGAGGTCAAAGGAAGGGAAGTGGATGGATATAAATCCGTGTGAAGACACTCTTGTGGTGAACATAGGGGACTTAATGCAGGCCTGGAGCAATGGGAAGTTGAGATCTTCTGAGCACAGAGTCGTTTTAAAGCGATCTGTTAATCGATTTTCTCTTGCTTTCTTTTGGTGCTTCGAAGATGACAAGCTGATATCTGCACCTGAGGAAGTAGTGGGTTACGGGAATTTGAGGCTCTACAACCCGTTTGTTTGTGCTAATTATTTGAAATTTCGAGAGAGCAGTGAGAAAGGGCAGTTCGAAAAAGTTGGGTTTACAGTGAAAGATTTTGCAGGAACTGGAGGATGAAAGCTTTCAATATATTATGGTACATTATTATTCATTGATTGATTGTGTGTGTGAAGGTGTTCTGATTGACGGAAAATAAGAGATTGAGAATTAAACAAGACAGTTAATTGTGTCTGCTAAGTGGGATTTGGAGTCCAGGTACTTTTAATCAGTAGTTCCTTGGGATTGTTCATGAATTATAGCATTCATCGAATTTGGTGGCTCATTTGTTTATTTGTTCCTATTAATGACAACCTCTTAAGATTTTTTTGACCTTTTGTGCTTGTTAATGAATGATGTGTATATGTATGCATGCATGAGTTAGTTTAGTAATTGAATATATAAGATTTTTTAAGGTAAGGAACTGGAAGAGAGCAAAGATAAACCATATGACATCTTTTGCATTCCTCTCACAAATCTAGTGAATATAATAAGAAAATGATATACAATATAGTTAAAGGAGGAGAAAGTATTCAATATCCTGGGTATTTACTGTGTAGTATTCTCGGCCAATCAACTTCATGCACGACAAATTTGACTCATGAGGTTAGTTGTGGGTTCAAGTTCTTATTAAATGCCGAACAGGTAGAGAAATTTTTAGATGGTTTGGAACCAACGGTCTCAACCAATCACGCATAAACAAAAACCTGAAAAAAGAAATTTATACATTTCTGACACAATTATTTACACGATTAATGGTGACTAGACCGATTGGTTCAGGACCAATGGTTCTTGAACTGATAGTGTTAAGCTGATAGTGTTAAGGTATGTTCAATTTGTCAATTTTTTATGGAGAAAAACTTAGATGCTCTAGTTATAAGTTTTTCTCCTTCAGTAGCCAAAAATTGGGAGAGGAGGGCTTTCAACAATACTCAAGAAAGCTACTAATGCACAAAATAGGGGAGTTTTATAAAAAATTCAGTGGGAGTGTTGCTACAATTTTAGAAAAAAATTAGGTGTTTAATATAAATGAAACATTAGTACCAACAAACCACTGAACTAGCGGCAGAAAAAAAATAATAATAATAATAAAATAAAACATCAGTGCTCAGCCCGGCATAGCTCCGTCCAAGGTTGTAGTCAACTGCCAAGAAAAAAAAATTGTTAATTTATATTTAGAAAAAAAAATAAAATAATAGAAGGAGTATCTGAGTAGTATTTTATTTGGATTGATTATATTTGTGATTATGGTTGGCCACAAAGTTTTGGTGTTGATTAAATTGACAGTCAACGAATCAAGCGTTAATTAATTCATGGGGACGGTCCATCCAACAGTGCACCTCTGGAGGTCAAATTATACTTCAACATTGTCTGGCAGCATTTGATGACACCTTGCATAACATTCAATGTTCACTGCCACTTCTTATGGACGGACCAAATTAATTGGAATGAGAAATATAATTTATATAATGGAGTTTTTTATTATTTTTTTTAGAGGAAGACTTTAAAGACCATATACAAATTAGGTGAATATTAGAACATATCACATGGAATGAATTTTATTTATGTTGCAATAAGATTCTTGCAAAATACATTTTGACTATATTAAACCAAGAATTTCAAGTAAGCCAAGATGATTATATAATTTTGAGCAGGCTTAGAAATATAGTCAAACAACATGAAAATATAGTTATTATTTCATGCTTGAATTAATTGATTTTTTGATTATGCTTGGCGACAAAGCCTCTTAAATGACCATAATTAATATAGTAAAAGAATCAAGCGTTAATTTAATGAAAAGTTATAATTGACCACATATTACTCTGACTTTAAAATCATATTTATTTATTTATTTATTATTTTTTTATCATACGACATCTACAAAGAGTGTAAAAAATGACTCCAGATTTGCTGAGACAACAGCGGAAACCACCAATGGAGGAAAGCAGTAACGGCAGTGACCCACAGGTCAGACCATTATCAAGGCAGTTGCTCCAAAACTGCATCCACAAGACGCCACCGACAGGTCCCCCAAACCCAGCACTCAAACCCCACACAAGAGGCGGGGACAACAAAACTGTGATACCCCCAGATTTCCGAATGCGGGTTGGCCAGGCCCACGCCCGAATACCCTAGGATATCAAAACAAATTGATAATAAACGAATACAGAGTACAAAAAAATAAAGAAGAATAAATAAAATGCTGACAAGAAACTAAAATGATAATTTAATAATAAACCTCAGAATATATTTCCATTAATTAATAAACTCTTCTGATACAACTGATCCTCCAAAATACGACTCGGGAATCCATACTGTGTGGATCCCTAGAAAATCCAAACTAAACAAATGACAGTAATAACTGTCTAAATCAGGAAACTGAATCATAAAGGAACTCCTATGTAACATCGGAAGAATGAAGTAGACTGATCCTCGCTCAGCACGAACAACCTCTACTCCTGACGAACACCTGAAAAATAATGGTGGGTCAGGCACACAAACAAGTTCTACTCTACTACAGTCCAAGCAGAAATCCGATACACGTATACATCCTAGTCAATCCAACAGTAACTAGTAGTCCGTATATATATATATATATATATATATATATATACACACACTAAAGGAACCTCATTAGACCATAGGGTTGTCTCAACTTGAATAGTAGGCAACATGCAAAACGCACATATAGTGGGCATGAATACCTAGACCTACCAGTGTACACAACTACACTATATCTAGCTACACATTCCTGGCGATATACGCACCCTAACCACTGATCTTGAGACTCAAGCTCATATCATGACACCATACTTATGTATATAAAATCTAGTAATCATCCTATTCAGTATAAATTAATCCTCTATAAGTCATTCAACTTGTTCAGCTGACCTAACTTGAATATAAGTAGGACTTAACATTTTAGTTAATCCATTCCCTTATATAATAAATTAATCCTCCATAAGTCATTCAACTTGTTCAGCTGACTTGACTTGAATATAAGTAGGACTTAACATTTTAGTTAATCCATTCCCTTATATAAAATAGGTAGGACTTAACTGATAAGTTAATCCGTCCCTAGAATGCCACCGTCCCATACCGGTGCATTAAATCACACAATTCAACAATTGATGTAACGATTAAGGAAATAAATCAAACAATCCAGAAATAACTATGATAATATGATATCAAGTTATTACAAAATATGAATGACTTATTATTTATTTAAGCTTCCTATATCATATGTCCTAACCAAACTGAATCTTATATATGATGATATTTTATTATACCGTCAAATAAGCATTCTCCATATCCAATTCATCCTACACATTTAATCTTAATTGCTAAAACATTTTAAAAGATTAAATCCATTTGTTTATTTAAAACATTCAAATAGTGAGCATCATTTTGATTGAGTCTATTTAAATTTATTTAAACCCAAACCTAGTTCCTATTTAATGTTTAGGAATCATAGACATGTTTCTACGTTCCATCATTCCACAGATATGAAAAATACATAATGTAAACATATAAAAATTCACACCGGAAATCAAATCAAAATCATGTATTCATCAATTCATAACACAAGAACAGATATGAACCAATTTCATAAAACCTATGTTCTAATCCAATTTAACATGCATTATTATTTAATTTTATGTGTTTAATAAATCCTGAAATTTCCTAGGCATGTATAGAAACACGAATCAAAGGGAAAGAGATAGAATAAGAACTTGTCTTAAACTTTCGAATTGAAAGTTAAACTTTTTCTTCCTTGATCTTCTCTCTAAAGGGTTTTCTCCTCCTTCCTTCCTCTTTCTCCTTCTCTCTCTAGAATATATTACGTGATATATTTTCACTCCTTTTTCAACATATAGTTGTGTATTTATAGGCTAAATAATAATCCTATTTCTTTTCCCAATCCAAGTCAACTTAATAAAGAAAAATAAAAATGAAAATATTAAAAAGGTAACTTAAAATATGTTACGTATATAATCTATGTATATCCTTATTAATTAAATAAAATATATACATTAGATTATTTATTAATACTAAAGTTACCATAATATTAAAAGGTAACTTAAAACATGTTAAGCATATAATCTATCTATATCCTCATTAAATAAATAAAATATATACATCAGATTATTTATTTATACTAAAGTTACCATAATATTAAAAAGGGAACTTAAAACATGTTACGTATCCTTATTATATAAATTTATAAAATATATACATTAGATTATTTATTAATACTAAAGTTACTATAATATTAATAAATTACTTTCCTTTTTATATATACGTATATACATATATATCTATATATATACATATAGAACTATCATTGGGTAATTATCCATACCCATCCAACCTCCTATCCAAGTAGTCCATGGGACCCAATTAGTTAGCCTATTACCACTAACCATAACCATAAAATAAAATAAAATAAAATAAAACATTTAATCATTTAATTTACAATTAATTACAATTAATCAAATACATCATTTAAGCACACAATCTAATTAAACAAATAATACAAATAACATGTAGACAAAATACAAATAACACATAAATAAGTAGCCAATTAATCAAGTAACACTTAATTCAATTAAACGCATAAACAATTAGTCAAATAATCAATTAAACAATTAAAAAAAATATAATAAAAATAAATAAATAAATATCGAGACTATCCTTTTAAAATTAGGGGTATTACAAAAACCCACACAGAGACGGGGACAACAAAATCCGACATAGATCGGAGATCTAGACGGAGACAAAAAAACAGATCTACCCCGTCAAGCCAGAAACAAGCCTAACAGGAGCAGATTTAACAAAACAATAACAAAACGGTGTAAAAACCTATCCACCAAATGACTAATTATAACACGCCGAGTTTATTAAGCAGTGGGAGGCGAGGATCGAAAGTGAATTCGAGAGCAGGATTGTGAGAGCGACAGAATTAAGTCATAAGTAGTGAGAATTTAAACGAGAGCGTGTACGGACACCTCCCTACCCTCATGGGAGAGGGTGGGGAGCAAACAGAGGAAGAGAACGAAGGGGGCAGCTGAGGGTTAGAGAGAGGTGAGAGAAAAAGTTGAGATAGAGAAAGAAGGGGTCTTCAGGAACACTCTAAAGTCATGTGAAAGACTAATGTAGTTGTACAAGTGATCATAAAATTCCAACTCAATTTACCTTTAAAATATACACACGCGCGCGCGCACACACACACACGGAGTCAGACAATGAAAAACGCCACAGAGGACACAGTGAGATTTATGTTCGGTTCGGTAGGAAGAAAAAAAATTGAATGAAAGGGAGAAAATAAAAGATGATTGAGACATCCCTAAGGATGAGATTAAGCGTTTCTCTCTTTTTGTTTGGTTGAATGGAAGAGAATGAAAAAAAGGGAACAATTTAATTTGATCTTTAGGATAAAAGGAAAGAATGGAAGAGAATGAAAAAAAATTAACAATTTAATTTGATCGGTAGGATAAAAGGAAAGATAAATTTTTAAGTTATTTTTATCATTAAATCCATCCCTTACTTTATTTATGTGATTTATTAAATATTTATTAAAGGTGATGTAGTAATTTAAAATCTCTTATTTTTCTGGGAGGATGAAAATTTGTGAAGGAGTTTCTATCATCATTTTTTTCCTTATATCATCTATACCGAATGAAGGAAATTTGTTCTTTCCTTCCTATTTTCCTTCCACCCCTTTTCTATCCTTTCAACCGAAGATAACATTAGATTCGATAGCATTAGAGTTTTTCCTATTTTCTTTCTACCCATCTTCTTTCCTTCCAATCGAAGATAGCGTTAGGATTTTGAAAGGTACTCATTGGGATGGAGTTGGAAGGAGAAGAGATGACCCATGAGAAGTAAAAGCGGATAAAGAGATTAAAGATGAGATTGGGGATTTAAATCCAGGATTTCCATAAGAGGTGTAGCTTTTTCCGGCCATTTGCACAGTGAAAATTGATAGTATAGAAGCCTCAAATCTTCATAATATATATATATATATATATATATATATATATATATTATGAAGATTTGAGGCTTCTATTCTAATCTTGTTTCTTGTTCAATATAGTCAGATTAATTTGATCTATTTGTAAAAGTGAATTAATTAGAGCTATTAATGATATAAAATGAAACCATTTTATACCCATCAATGACTTCATTGTCTCACTTTCATTCCTCTATAAGATTTTCTCATATAAAACTCCCTTTAATTCCCTTGATTAAAGATAGGTCAAACTTTGACTGACCAATCTTTAATTCTTTCTCGAGGCAAACATCGTCCATTGTCGTTATAGGACATAAACCTCACCCCAGATTGGTAAAGAGTAGAATCAAACCCAAACGTTAAAAAGCACTTATTAGTGTGCAGACTTCTCAAGCAACAATAAATAAAAACTCAGCTAAGTATAGAATGAATGACCAGTAATTATGATAGCTACACTTTCCTCTTCCTAAAGAAGGGAGAAAAAAAATAAGAAATATAGAAGAAAGTTGGGGAAATATTAAGGTTACCCATCAGCATGCGTTACAACTCTTTTTACACGTCCCATAATAATCAGGAGAACCAATCATGAAAACTGGATTCCTTTGACACTCTCCAAGCGAAGCCCACTGGGGACATCTTTCATCTTCGTCAGTGCACTCGCTGTTGTCTGATTTGAGTAGGACCTCCTCCCCGGGAATGGCTCTCACATGGAAGAATTTGGTGGCAAACCACATTTCCCCCTCAAGGACAGGGCATCTGGCATGGGAGCTAGTCATGTCAGGAGACGCATTGGGTCGGAGATTGAAGAATAGAATTGCATTCCCTTTTGAGGGGTTAAGGATGTTACTGCTTTTTACGCAATCAGACCAAATTTTGTTCTGCATTTGAGAGTTTACTGTGTTACCAATTGAAATTTGAGTAATAGGTTATATCCTAGTGAAAATGGCAATAACTTAAACATAGATAACTAAAATGGTTTCTCTCTCACCTCTGACTTGGGGAAGAGGATCCGACCACCCTGACTGACATTCGAAAGATACAGAATAACAGTTGCCATTAGAGGCTCACCGCGCACCAATGTGGAACTGTCACCAAAGTAGTCATATTTCTGTTTGCCCACTTCAGCCCCAAAATGCAGAACCTGTAAAGTCTTGCTGTTACCTGGACAGAAGGTGAAATTAAAAGATGACACAAAAATAACATACTAAAAGATGACACAAAAATAACATACTAAAAGGTAAACCACAGTTAGGAAACCAAGGAGGAGAAGAACCTTTGGGAAGAAAAGTCCAAGCTGAAATCCTTTCCTCAATCCTTGCAATTATATCATCCTAAACAAACCACAAAGATAATAACTATACAACAATAAATTATTTAATTCTGCCCAGTGCCCACCTCTATTTCAGATGGCAGCACCTATAACATGTCTTTTAATAAGTTTCACCAGCTTACAACTCGATAGTAACTTTCAAACCAGCTTCTGGTCACTAAAGCTCTATCCCCCTCCCCAGGGACAAGTCCAAATTTTTTATTTTTTTTAACTCCGCAATTTTCTAAATACACACACACAAACATGTAATTTATAAGCATGAAGCACAGACCCGTGTCTCAACCGAGCCTTGAATGCTGCACCTCCCTACATCTGGGGTAGTAGAATTGAGGTTTTTTTTTTTTTTTTTTTTTCTTTTTTTGAAAGTTTAGTAGAATTGAGGTTATATTATGGTTTGATGTACACTAAAGCCTGAAACCATAAGTTGAGAAAAACATAAAAACTCGCACCTTGTTTGTACCAACCTTTGTTGGATCACTAGAACTCCCTTTCTTGTCCTGTGCCTAGACCCAATATGCATATTTAAGAAATTAGTCAAAACATAAAGAAAAGTGTATAAAGTAGGAGAACAGACTTTACCTGAGAAATGAGGCTGTCACATTCTTCATCCGATAAAAATCCTTTATATAGAAAGACCCTGTCCCAAGAAAAATGATGGAATTCTCTACAGTTAATAAGACAATGAACATACATATTTTTCATGGTATCCTTTTAATTGTTCCTCCATAAAGACCTAATTGGAAAACATTAATTTTTTGTGAAATTGTAATTATCATTTACAATTTCTCTTTTCAAAAAATATATCCATAATTAATTAATTGAATAGTTCATCAAAACCATACAATCCTTAAGTGTTCCATCTCCCACAAGGGACATAGAAGAAGCTATGAAATAATAAATATATCGGAGTACCTGACCTTGGTCGCCAAGACAGTTGGATAACTCTTGATGGGTCAATTCTGTTGGATTGAACGGGATGACTCAATTGTATGATATCTTCTTGGTCTACCTCCTTAGTTCTCAGTTCCTTCCGGCTAATGCAGTGAAATGGTTGCATATGAAATGGCTATATTAGAAACAGTTTTAACACATTAAAGACATTTCTTCACTTGTTAGTGAGACAAATTTCTCTATGTTTAGTAACTTATAAAGTCACCAAACAGAGCTTAAAATCATGGATACAACAGAACGCATAACAATTAGTTAAGATTTGAATCCTTAGTATACAAGTAGTGAATAGATGGAAATATTATTGGATCAATCCTTAGGGAGTCCAAATATCCAGAACATCCACAATAATGAAAAAATATAGTAACCAGCTTTCAGTTTGGCTTAGTTTTACAGCAGGCCAAGGCTACACAACTTCTGATTATACGATTCTTACCTTAAAAAAGAGAAAAAAAAAAACTTCCGATTATATGAACTTGAAAGAACTGCAATCTACCTTTCTTCTCGTAACTTGGTATTAACTTATCAGTCTTCACTGCTACATGACTTGCGGGAACAAAATTTTTGGTAAAGTTGTACAAGCCCAAACTGTCTAAATATTTAATCAGATTAAATCCAAGTCTTGGCAGGTAACCTATTCTGCTTAGTCTTCATTTGGCATCTAAAAAGAGTTGACCCCTGAAAATTGTACTCAGTAACATCATGTACTAATGTTATAGCAGCAAAATGAATAGGTTCTTCATTGAGAAAATTTCTTTTATAAAAGGCTTCTTTTTTATTTTCTTCTTCCATTTCTTTTTCCCTCGCGGTGCTGATTTCCAGTAAATATGGTAGGCAAATGCTGCAAATCACTTCCATGCTAGGTAATTTTCAACAACATACCTCAGTACTCCCACAATCCCAACGGCCAGCAGCCTCATCTCTTACAAAAAATACATTATCAATCCCGATTCTCTTACCCAACAAGGAAGAGCAAAGTCATAACACCTTCTGTGTTTGCTATATAAGGTATTGAAATTATACATGTTAATTGAAACTATACATTTTAATTGAAATTATCATTTTACCCATGCAATCTCCCATTCTAGATGTTCTAAGAACCAAGGCCAAACTCCACATACAATTGACACTACAATATTCTCTCTTTAACGATTAATGCCTAAATTTTGGTTTTCATTCTGAAAATCGAAACCCATTTCAAATATTTCGTAGTGATAGCTAGACTATTAATCCAAAAAGAAATAAATAGATGAATATTATTTAGCCCATAAACCTCTCTTCACACAAATTTGTTTCTTCTTCTTTTATTCCATTGAACCTGCGTTACTAGTGTCCATAATCCATCATTATATATCAATATATTGATTACTAAATGGAAACAAACACACACATACACACTCAAGCAATGCATTTCAAGAACAACCGTGATCAGGCACCATATGAAATCGAAATCTATAGCTAGAATTGCTAATATGACCAAACAATACAACAATTAATGATACCCATCAATATAGATCAAACGAAATCAAATAAGATGCGAAAATTGAGATGGGTGTCTTACATTTCTGCATTAAGGCTCGAGAAAGAAGATGTAAACACCAAAAGAAGCAAAATTGAGAGATGGGTCGCCATCGATGACCGTAAAGATGAGAGTGAGACCCCAATTGACAAACAGAGGTTTGTATTATATTATTTTAACTAAAAGAGAATTTGAAAAGAGAAATCATGATGAATTCATGATAACTTCGTGAATTTGTTGTTCAGATGTTGCGGCGGAGCATGGACGTTCATGCAATTCATGATAATTTCGTGAATTTGATTGTCCATTTTCATAACAGAGATTTCCTATTTTTGATTTTTTTAATGCAATTAGTTGAATTTAGAACAACAAATCAGAGTGGCGCAGCGGAAGCGTGGTGGGCCCATAACCCACAGGTCCCAGGATCGAAACCTGGCTCTGATACAAGAGTAGCTTCCATTGTTGTCCTCTTTTTCCAATTTTTATTACCAATGCCAATACATACCAATCCCAATATATAACAAAACTGGTAAATAGAAATCAATTTCACTATGTCCCATTCACCAAGTCAATTTTTGAAACTTGTTAAAAGAAATTTGTGAAAAATCAAATAAATCATGTCTTTCGAGCTCTTAATCTTATTAACTTTACAAATATTTTTTACATGTAATAATAATAAAAATTAAATAATCTTATACCAGTCTAATTTCTATATTAGTGTAATACTTAACATTTGCATTGATTAATCAGTTGAAAATTTTATTTTGTTTTTGAAATTAACACAAGTTTTAGTACAAGGATAATTAACATGCATACTTAAATGTATACCCCAATATGTGTCATTGATAAAAATCATATAATTGTTATGACTTAGGTCATGACTCAATTAGTACCATTTTATGTTCTAAATGTAACCTTTTAACAATTTTGGTGAAGCCTTTATTTAGTTATTTTATTTTTATGTTATGGGCCATTGTTGTTATTTATATGTAATCTACTAGTAATACATAGAAAATTATTGAAGTAACTTAAAATTGAGGAGTTTGGAAAATTATGACGATAATTGGAATAGAAGTGCCTGGTCAATGAGTGAAGTTGGATTTGGAGATAGCTTAAGAATTGATGGTCAATGCGACGAATATCTAAATACAAGGATTTAATATATAAAACTTATATATAAGGATTTAATATATTATACCAAAATGCAAGGGTTTATTATATAAAAAGCAATAGTAGAGGGGTTTCAGGACTCCTAAATCATTTCAACCATAACAACATAATATTTGCCTCTCCACCCCGTCTTTTTTAAATTCTGCTACACTGTTAAGGAATCTAAAAACCAATTTCATCCATGCCCTCCTAAGGCTATTACCATCAAACAAAAGAAACACAATTTTTTTACAAATGAATGAATGGATGAATATTCACCACAAATATATTCATTTACACAGCTATCCTTGGATTACAACATCAATCAGCAGTATGTGATTTCTTGAGGACCATGTGACCCGACTCATCCTTGTCAAAAAGCCGTTCTATCAATTCGTCCCAGCTCTCTCTCTTTGGGCTTTTCTTCAATGATCCGGCGGAACTTGATTTGACTGAATTCTCCCCTTCCTCATGCTCGTCGAAGGTTCCATATTGAGACGGTGAATACGCATGGGGCACAGCCAATGTAACAGCCCTCTGTAGTGCAGCCTTGTACTCCTCACTGTGTTCTCTGGCTAAAGTCTCCTGCCGCTCCATCTTCTGCTTTGCCGGAATCTCCATGCTATGATCTTTCTCTAGCATTAACTGAATCACAAGAAAGAAATGAAAACATCAAAACAAAGTCTATTTTCTGAGGTAGGACTTCAATTCCTCAAGCTCTTCCATTTTTATGGATGGACAGTATAAATCAGGAATAGGAAAATTTGTATATATTTTCAGACGTTAAATTTACACATTCATGCCCAAAGCTCTCTCCTTTTGCGGTTGGTAAAAATTAATGAAGAATATGTAGCATCATTGAAATGTTAAAACTATGTGTTTCTTTGTGTTACACATTTTGGGTAACAAACATCAAACAGGAGAACACGAGATTATCTCTCTTCTACTGTTATCACAAGGAGGGAAAAAAAACAGCAGTTGCAAAGTAGTTCTTTTTTTTTTTTTTTAAATCTTCATCTGACAGAAAAAGAGGTCATGTTAAGAATTATTAAACGAAAAACTTTGAAAATGATAATATAACAGTGAACTGATTTATAGTCTCAGTTGTATAGGTAATATACTTAATCGTGGCTAATCCAAATAGTGCACAGCTCAGGCACAAAGGACTTCAGGTAGGAGGGAGAAGCAGTTCAACCGATGAGATATTGACCACAAAATTGTCTTAAGAGGTAACTTAAGCGTATCTCTTACCTCACAAATGCATATGCTTCACACCAATTTTAACACTAACTAGGAGTACTGATCTTTCATCTCTGGCTAAAATTTAGCTATCCTTACCTCAGAAAGCTTTGGTAGTCTTTGAAACATCTTAAACCACATAAAGAGAGACAAAAACTTTAAATTCCATCGGAGTACGTTAATTTAGAGTGACCGCTAAAATGAATTCAAGAGATTAATCTGAAAATAGTTGTGCTATTTGAATTGAATCAATCACATTCTTTGATAGGTCCAAATTGGGAAAGAATAACAGTTCAACTTAAGGAAAGCAACATATCGGTCAGCTCAATTTATTAAAAATGAAGTACTACAAACTTAATACCGTTTATTAAGGGAACACATGTATGGTGGTCGGGAAAATGGAATCTGGTCTACTTTTATACTAACGGAAATCTGGTCTCCGAGCGGGAGCGAAAGCGGTTGCGATAGCGGGAACGCAAAAGCAACAAAATCTAAAATTTAGTCAGAGCGGGAGTGCCTGTACACTTGTATAGTATTATGTGTATAAAATAAAAAAAAATGTGTTTGAACCGTAAGTAACCTTAAGTCTTTAATATTAAAAGATATATAATATTAATAATAATTAAAATACCAAATTCATATCATATTTTTTATTTTTAAAGAAATGCGACCTGAGAAATGCATAAATTTATTCTAGATTATTTTCATACATTGAATGATTACTTTAAAGAATTATAAAACAATAAACATCTTAACTAATAAAAGTAAAAGTATCTATATATTTTGTTTGCAAATATATAGGTGTCTATACAATGTACACACACGTTTAACATTTTTAGACTTAAATAAGAAAACAAAAATGAGCAATATGGTAATGATATTCTTTTTTAAGCATGTAGGTTTATTCTTCACATTTCTAACCTTTTTTATTCAGTATTAGACACATTTGGTTATTGCGATCAATAATAAATGTCACATTTGGTTGTCCATAATTCAATGAATGAGAAATCGTTATGAATTCATGAATTGAAAAAATTGAATTCGCGAATTATAGAAGAATTTGCTCTTAGAGCGCCAATTCGCGCACGGAGCGCGTGAGCGACACCACTTCAGAAGGATTGTGTGACTTAGCTATAGACATCATAACTTTTGTCAGCCAACAAGGTGACATTTTGCTATTACTCATTAACTACTACAAACAGTAAAGAAAAATAGAACTCACATCCAAAGCCCTATGGGCTTCTCTCTCTATCCAAATGATGGCGTGGTCAGAAGTTGCATTACAAGAGAGAACTATGTGCTCAAATCTCCCATCCACAGGCACTGCGGTCCTCACAACTGGGGGAAACCTTCCACACCTGAACACAGAAAATGCACAGGGATTGGTCAGACTGGTCAAATGTTGACTTATTCCCTCACCTCAAATTATGTTACATGGACTCGGGATGTATGTTGGCGTGTTTATGTGTTTAACTGTCAGAAATATCAAATTCCAAACAAAAGGACACAGATAAACTGCTAAATATTCATATATATATATATATATATATATATATATATATATATTTTCAGAACAAAATAATGTTTTTTTTTATGCAATATAGTGTTCAATATAGGTATTTCACTCATTTGGTAATAAAATTAAATTACTGGATATATTTTTTAGGTGCATGTCCAACCAAATGCGTCAGACAAATGTGACATACTCATATCTGAGTGATGTGTGTCTGACACGGGTACTTCATGTACTTTTGAAAAGTCCATGTACCATAGCCTTAAAGATGATCAACATAATTTTGGAATTAAAAAACTGGTTGTAGTTCAATGTGACAAAACCAATGAAAGCATCCATTCAAACACGGGAAATGGGGGACTTCCCATAGATCAGAAGACTATGACAATAGATGACATTATATTACAGAAAAGGAAAGTGAACATGTGCCACTCAATATCACTTTGTACTAGCTTACATGGGATACCAATTGAATCAATCCTTATAAACATTGTTACTGATAAACAAAACCAACCCATTCGGTTGAATGAACGTTTGACCAAGCTCTGTGTTATGAGTTGTAGTTATGAGTTATGATCTGATTTTGGTCTCATGTCATCTCTTAGATCGTGACACTACTTTTAATGCCTTTAAAGGTACCTGAATGGCTTTCTCTCAACAATGTGATAGAGACGACCGGGTGCATACAGCCTCCTTGGATCTTTGAGCATCTTCTCATCTGGTATACACGTGTCTCTCATGCACCTCAGGCATAGTATGCATGGCAAACTGCTCAAAATAATTTTTACAGGAAAGCCTCTCATCAAATGAATTGAAAATTAAAAGGTAAAAAAGGAAATAAAATATTAGAACAGCTAAAATTTGGTGATATTGCCTAGCTAAATTCTCAGATACCTATGAAGCCCTTTACAGAAACAATTGTAAGCCCTTTGATCAACCAGCTTCCCCTGGTTAGAGGGAAAATATATTTGTGTTTCTTCTCCTCAATGTCTTTTTGGTGGAGGGAAGAAGAAGGGCTATATTTTTTACCCGCTTAGAGAAAAAGAGGGAACGAAATTCTGGATAACACAAATAGTCTAACATTTAAAAAGCTGTAAGAGTAACTTCTCTCTCTCTCTGTCCCCCCCTTCCTGGCTTGGGCTGTTGGAGTACATTTTTAAGAGCCTTCAATTATTACTTATCAAAAAAAAAAAAACCAAAAAAGCAAAAATTGAACATTTGAAGTGATGAAGCCCAATCTTTTACCAGAAAAGCGACTTGAAAATGTCTTCCAAGGGGGTGGCTGTTCGGGGCAAGAAGTCATCCTATTTCAATTAAAAAAACAACATTAGAACAAAAAAGCATATCATCAGCATTAATATATATATATATATGTATATATAGATATATAAAACAATTAAAGGCAACAAGTAGGTGAAACATCCAGATATTTCATGACATTGAACAAGAAAAAAAGACAAGTTCTGCACATATATGATCTCTTTTCCTCCAAGTAAACACAACTTGTGCCAGCAAAAGGAGTACCTTACTGTGCTCATGTAAGAACATGCCCACGGATTTGTGGGCTGCACTAAGCCAAAATAATGATACAAAAAGGGCAAAATGTTATTCAGAAACCCAGACAAAATTTAGAGAAGATGACATCTATGTTTGCAATCATTGCAAGGCTCTGAACAACTAGTTAATCATTAAACATTGATCACAAAGTTTCATCTCAAGCACAACTTTGACATGTGATCATATTGGTTCTTAATTGAATTGCATTAACATAAATTTTAATTATTTTCCCCAAATTAGGAGGATCTCACTCTTGACCATTGTCAGTCAAAACTAAAGAATGCATGCAGTAGCTTACAGTGACTATGAACTTGCCAGGACATGCATGAGTTTGGTGCAATGCGCAATGGCAGGCCAAAGTATTTTTACTTTAAATGGTTCAAAGTGCTCTTGCTCTTGCTTCTTTCCTAGGACAAATGCTACCAATCAAAAACTTAGGGGGAAAAAATGCTGCCAATTGAAAGAAAGAGGAAGGAAACAAATTGCTTTGTTTTCAGAAAGATAAGGAATTTTAATTTATTTTTTATTTTTTATTTTTTTAAATTGGTACTCACACACACATGCCTCCACTGAGGCTCGAACCCCTGACCTCCCTTTGGGAAGTAGGAGCCTGGTACCGCTAAGCCACTAGCCTGTTGGTAGAAAGATAAGGAATTTAGTTATTTTATTTCTAAATTATAAGTAAAGCAAAAGATGCCTATCCTTTTGGATTGGCTTGGAAAAGAATACTTCTAAACAAATGCATTTTGCCAATTTTTTTTCCTGAATCAATGCATTTTGCTATTTTCTTGTTAAGCTGAAGAAAAATTTTCATGCTAGAGTGGACGAATAAATTACTCAAACATTCATAATTTATATAGAAATCATACTCTTGTTTATATACTATAAAAGCGTTAAGATAGCATACTTTCAAGTAAAGTTTTTTAAAAAAGGCTTGGCTGGATTGTCTACTGTCAATGGTATTTCAACTTTTTTCACCTGGCCAAGAGGCACTCATAGGCTATACAATGAGTGTGGCCTTCTCCATACCATGATCTCCTCCAAACCAAAGGCAAAATTTGATCTCAATCCCCTATTACAAATTTACAATTACTAAGAGACTTTACCATCCAGGGCAACTGGCACATTTTAATGCTATTCATTGAAGCAAAGCTGAGAAAACTGCCTTTGGAGTAAACACAAGTTCTTAGAGGACTATAGATGGACTTAACCAGTTGTATCAGTTCACATGCAGACACTTCAAAAATGAAAGATGTTGATCATTCAAGTATATTTATATTAAATACCTGATAAAACAGGGAATCCAGTTTTACACTGTTGATCATCTAACTATATTTATATTAAATACCTGATAAAACAGGGAATCCAGTTAACACAGATTAATATGCAAAGGCACTATTCAACAAGCTCTGTCCATGTAAACCTATAGAAGTACATGCACTCTCTACCATGTAAAACTATAGAAGTATATGTACTCTCTTTACCAGATAATAAGGTATCTGGTACAATTATTGACCATTTAGAACAAATCCCAATGAGAATGAAACTTCTCTCATACAGTTTACCAGTTACTGTAACTCGGTGCACCATACAGTTTACCATTCACTATCTTGAACATGTTCTCTTCATTTTGGTTTTAGGAACTTCATTGCGCATCGAACTCTCATTATACTAGAATAAAAATGCCTGCAGTCATTATACATGTTTCTTTTTTCATGCAAAATTTAATTGTCTCCAAGTCAACCAGGGTGACATTCAACAAGATATGCATGTGTGCTAATGGGCTATTAACCTCATTATTCTCTTTCACAGGCAAATTTAGTGAAACTTGTCCACATAATAACCCTCCAGCCTGTATCCCCCAGATAATTAGAAACAAGGTTATTATGCAAGTACCATAACCAAACCCTGAAATAAGATAAACTTATGGATGAATTTGTTCACTTATTCTGTGAGCTTGCTGGAGTATCCTGCCACGTGCTTTATGTATATAAATCATTTCGACTTCATTGTCTTAACACGTATCAATGCAATTGATTAGGATAAAGACAATCAAATCTTACAAGAGCCCCACGATTGCTCACTCCCTTTAGCAAATCCAAATCCTATTACCCAAACAAAGACGGTTTAAACAAAGCATTGGATATTTTTGTTTGCTGGCTTCCTATCGAATGAAAGTTGAAACATAGACATGCTGCACATTACTTCCTATGAGATACATAATAACTAAGAAAGAAATCCCTTATTTTTGGAGTAAACGCAATTACAAGCAGCATTATATGTTAAATAGAAAATAAAGCAGGGTGCAATCCGTGTCAATGCAAAAGGAACTACTCGAAATATAGTAATGGCTTCACAAGATGCATATCCATTACAAATCACAAATGGAAAAGTTGTTATAGATTCACAATATGCATATCCATAGGATTGGTTGTCCAAAGCACTTAAAACCAGAATAAAGGCATCAAATAACAAGACCATAATAACTTGCCTGAAGAACAACCGAATTGATAACATCTGCATATCTCACAGCCAAATTTAGTGACATGCATCTGGCAGGTGCTATAGCATAGCACCTGACCTTCTTCCTCTCAATATTCCCCAATCTATCACGATTCTGCACCACCACCATTGTCAATAATGCTGCCACACCTGACCCAAGGGAATGCCCCGTAAAAGTCAGGGTATAATTTGGATATTTCTCCACCAGATCCTTCAAAATGTCGCACTCTGCATCCAAAACCAACCCGGCTGCCTTCAACAGCCCATTGTGAACATACCCACCATCGAACTTCCTTTGACCCAGCTTATTATCTAGTAAAACTGCATAATCACTCTCCTTTGCTAAATTAAGGCCTCTAATAGCAAGAACTATATCGGCATGCTCATGATCTAGATATAATATATATGGAGGGGCTCGACCCTGGGTATCCTCGTAAGTCTTTTTCAAAATTAAACAATCGTGCTTAATTCCATACCCTCCAGGAGGTTCCCAGAGGGGGTGCTTAAGATCATCTTCATACACGGCCAGTATGTACCGGCAAAGCCGAGGGACAGGCTCGAATTCTTCAGCCGTAGCAAGACCCCACGTCTCACTGTCATGGCCTGCAGTGTGTAGACACCTTTTCCATGCCCAGCGGGCACATGCCAGACAGTAAACACACTCGAGTAGAGGGAGGCCACAGATGATTGACATTGTCGCCCAAGGTCAAAAAATCTTAACATAGATCTAGAAACAAAGGTTTTCAACCAGATTCCAAAGCAGAGTAGATGAGAACGGTTGCCCAATGAACAAAATAGGATGGATATGGAAATCCAAAGAAAGGAATCCAAGTATGATGGAAAATATCAAATGGGTATCTAATTTTGGTAAACTACCATGATTTCTGTTCCTTTATAAATTTTTTTTTTTTTTTTTGGGTATGATGACAATATCAAACCGGGTGCCCAAGCTAGCCAGATATGTATATCGCAATCAATGTTGCAAAATCTCAATAAAATTCATAACAAATATGATATACTAATAGAAAATCAAAGTAAAGCATCAAGATGATAAAAACAGCGAACTGAGCTTCTTGTACTGAGAAAATATCAAATGGGAATACCCAACTGCCTAGGAAACGATTAACCAACAATAGCGAGCTCACCTGCAATGAACTACTCGAAGAACACAAACAGATGATCGCAAAAATCGTACAGTAACAATCACAAACTGGTTTAAACGTTGAATTGCCAATAATTAGGGTTTTAGAGTAGGAAAAAGTAATGTGATAGCAAAATCTCACTATATATGTAAAAGAAAAAGGACGAAAGACCCAAGTTCCAGATTTCAGTTTTAATCAGATAAAAGGAAAATCCAAGGATCAGAGGGCGATTTCTGTACGGAATTTTTATTTAAAAAAATAAAAAAAAAAAAAGGTATTGCGAATTGCGATCGTGATTTCTCAATTTTGTTTTATGAGAGAGAAGGTAGTGCCGAGTTGTAACAAAATTGAGAATGATAGGTACAGAGGAGGATTGATTACCTGCAAGTCAACTCAAGCCTTCCGGCCAACTCCTCTCTTATTTCTTCAAAATTTTCATTTATTGAACCAGTAGAAGCCACACTGGTTTCTGGAGACAAGAATAAATAAATAATAATATATAAATTTTCCCAATCATTTGGTCTGATGAACACATATTAACCTGTGGCATTCTGTAAATTTGTTTAGTTTTTAGTGGTATTTTGGTCGTACTACAGTAGTCACTACTTCTAATGGTTTTGCTTCCTTCAAATGCCTTTTTTTTTTTAACCTCCTTGATTTGCATGATATTCCTACTACTGTAATCACACAACGATCTTCAGTGTTGATGATGGATTCTGCGCAACTTGGATTTGATCTGACTTCCTGAATAAAGAGAAGAAAAAGTGATCCTACGAACACCGGTGTGTTACCGGTGGAGTAGGCTCCGACGAACAAGTCAGTGTGAATGATAATTTTCCTGGAGAAATCGAGAAATTGAGTTAGGGTTTATTGCGTACCTCAAAACGTTGATTCTCCCGCATTTTTTATAGGGTTTAGGTTAAGATGCCACGTAGAATTACCTTATCGTAATCTGTAGACTTAATCCTCATCGTAATCTTTAATCCTTATCACAATCTTTAATCATTATCGTAATCTTCCCTTAATTATTGATATTTAAATTATATATCCATCAGTTGCCCCCCGTTTCGGAGGATTGCTTGTCAAACTACCGGAACGTTAATTCCAAAATATCACACAATAATATATAGTTAGAATTGCAGAGCCTTGTCCATTAGCCTGACTTATATTGTCATTTCGTGAATACAGTCGGGGGTCATAGTATCACATTAGCAGCTCGTATATGTGGCAAGCTCGTATATTTGTCGTAGTGCCACATTGGCAGCTCGTATATGTGGCAAGCTGCCATGTTGGTAGTCTACCGTTATGTGGCAAGCTGCCATGCCATGCTGCCGTGGCAAGCTGTCCTGCTGGCATGCTGCCGTTATTTGTCAAGTTGCCCTGGCAGGCCTGTTACTTTTATTTGGCAAGCTGCCCTGCTGGTATGCTGCCTTTATTTGGCAAGCTGTTATGCTAGCATGCTGCCGTTATTTGGCAAGCTGCCCTGCTGGCATGCTGCCTTTATTTGGCAAGCTGCCCTGCTGGCATGCTTCATTTATTTGACAAGCTGCCCTGCTGGCATACTGCTTTTATTTGGTAAGCTGTCCTACTGGCATGCTGCCTTTATTTGGCAAGCTGCTCTGCTGGCATGCTGCCTTTATTTGGCAAGCTGCCCTGCTGGCATACTGCTTTTATTTGGTAAGCTGTCTTACTGACATGCTGCCGTTATTTGGCAAGCTGCTCTGCTAGCATGCTGCCTTTATTTGGCAAGCTGCCCTGCTGACATGCTACCGTTATTTTATACTTGATTTTATTGACATCTTTAGTCGGCTCGTCCCTTTAATAAGGAAAGTAGATTAAGACGAGTTTCACGTAACTCGTAATAAGGTAAGTAGATGAATACGAGCTTCACTCAGCTCACCCTTTAACAGGGGAAGTAGATTCTATGAGCTTCACCTAGCTCACCTTTTAACGAGGGAAGTAGATTACTATGAGCTTCACTCATCTCACCCTTTAACAAGGGAAGTAGATTAATACGAGCTTCACCCAGGTCACCCTTTAACAGGGGAAGTAGATTAATACGAGCTTCACCCAGGTCACCCTTTAACAGGGAAAGTAGATTACTATGAGCTTCACTTAGCTCACCATTTAACAAGGAAAGTAGTTAACCCCTCATCTTTTTACGAGGGAAGTAGATTACTATGAGCTTCACTCAGCTCATCCTTTAACAAGGGAAGTAGTTAACCCCTCATCTTTTTACGAGGGAAGTAGATGAAGCTGACCCTTCATTCTTTTAAGGGGAAAAGAGGTATGGTCTTGACATGGGAGTCATCTCCTCTAACGGTTGTCTCGGGATGTTGGCAAATCGTTGACACTTGTCGCACTTTTGAACGAAGTCAAGTGCATCTTTCTGCATGGTGGGCCAATAGTATCCTAGTCGGATGGCCTTGTTAGCAAGTGACCTACCCCCAGCATGGTTTCCACAAACTCCTAGGTGGATCTCCCTTAAAATGTAGTCAGCTTCCTCGCTAGAAACGCATCGTAAATACGGCATGGAGAAGCTTCTCTTGTTGAGCACTCCTTTGATAAGCGTATACCTAGCTGCCCGCATCTTGACCTTTCGAGCTTCTACTCGGTCTGTTGGTAGCACCCCATCCTTGATATATCTGATGATAGGATCTGCCCATTCCACACTCAATATCGCTTGTTGCACTTCAATTTGTCTCTCCTGAGATATAGATGGTTTGTCCAAATATTCCAGTGGTATATTCTTATTGATCTCAGGTTCAATGCAGTAGCTAGCCGGGCTAAAGTGTCTGCTTTCCCATTCTCTTCTCGTGGTATTTGATGAATTGAGAATCTTTGGAAGTGATTCTTTAATTCCTTCACCTTTTGTAGGTAACTCTTCATCTTCTCGTCTCGTGCCTCATATTCCGCTTGAACTTGTCCAGCGACCAGCTCGGAGTCGGTGTAATTGCTCAACCCTTAGGGCATTTGCCACTTTTAATCCTGCTATCAAGGCTTCGTACTCTGCTTTGTTGTTGGTTGCGTTGAAACCAAACCGAAGTGCGTACTGTATACTTTCTCCCTCTGGGGAGACAAGAACAAGCCCAATTCTGCTAACCTGAACATTAGATGACCCATCCACGAACAAATCCCAGACTACTTCTGGGCCCATCTGCTCACTTAAACCTGGTTCTGTCGAAAATTGGGGTTGTTTCTCCTCTTCTGGAGGGGTAAACTCAGCTAAGAAATCAGCCAACACCTGAGCCTTTACTGCTGTTCTTGGCTTATACTGAATGTCGAACTTTTCTAACTCTACTGACCACTTCATCAGTCGACCAGAGCTTTCTGGCTTGTGTAGGACCTGTCGAAGGGGTTGATCTGTTAGGACCACTATCGTATGCGCTTGAAAGTATGGTCTCAGTTTCCTGGCGGACACAATTAAAGCAAAGGCCAACTGTTCCATCCTTGGATATCTTTCCTCCGCACCCCTAAGTGCTCTGCTCACGAAGTATACTGGCCTTTGGACCCCTTCTTCTTCTCGTATCAGAGCTGAACTGACAGCTGTCGTGGAGACTGCAAGGTATATGTATAGTTCCTCTCCCGGTATGGTTCGAGACAGTAGTGGGGGAGAACTAAGGTATTGCTATAGTTCTTTGAACGCCTGCTCACACTCTGGGGTCCATTCAAACGCATTCCTTATCACACGAAAGAAAGGTAGACACTTGTCAGTTGACCGAGAGATTAGCATACTTAAGGCAGCAATCTTCCCTGTTAGTCATTGTAGATCCTTGGTTGATCTTGTCGATCTCATGTCAATGACTGCTCGGATCTTCTCTGGATTGGCCTCAATTCCTCTTCTGCTTACCATATATCCCAAGAACTTTCCTGAGGAAACCCCAAAGGCACACTTGCTGGGGTTGAGTTTCATCTTATGCCTCCTAAGTACCTCGAAGGTCTCCTGCAGGTCAGTCAAATGGTCTTCAGCTTTTAAGCTTTTCACCAACATGTCATCAACATATACCTCCATGTTTCTACCAATTTGATGCTTAAACATTGCATTCACTAGCCTTTGGTATGTTGCACCAGCGTTCTTGAGCCCAAACGGCATTACTTTGTAACAGTACAAACCTCTATCAGTGATGAAGGCCATTTTTTCTCTATCTGATGTGTACATAGATATTTGGTTGTATCCAGAATATGCATCCATGAAACTTAATGTTCGTGTCCAGCCGTTCCCTCAATGAGCATATAGATTCTTGGGAGAGGAAAGCTATCATTCGGGCAAGCTTTGTTAAGGTCGGTGAAATCCACGCATAGCCTCCACTTTCCATTTGCCTTCTTCACTAAGACCACATTTTCCAGCCAGTCAGGGTATTACACCTCTTGAATAAAGTCGACTTTTAAGAGCTTTTCCACCTCTTCTGATATAGCCTGATTCCTTTCTGGAACGAAAGTCCTCCTCTTTTGTCTGACAGGTTTAAAGTCAGGATTTACATTTAAGCGGTGCTCCATAATAGTGGGGTCTATACCCGGCATGTCTTCATGGACCCATTTAAATACGTCTCGATTCTTCCTGAGGAATTGAGTAAGTTTATCTTTGATACCTGGGGGGAGTAAAGACCCTATACTTACTTTTTTCTCGGGCTCACCGTCACCAAGGATGACCTCTTCTAGCTCCTCTGTAGGTTCCGCTCTATGAAAGTCTGGTCTATCTTTCCCTTCCAGCCCTTCAATCGTAAATGCCTCTTACGATTTTGTTTTTCTAAGAGAAGCGACATAACATTCGCGAGCCATTGTTTGGTCCCCTCTTAGCTCTCCCATACCATATTCAGTTGGGAAGCGCATCAGGAGATGGTAAGTGGACGTGATTGCTTTCATGGCATTCAATGTTGTCCTCCCCAGGATAATATTGTATGATGATGGGCAGTCCACCACTACAAAGTCCACCATTATAGTGACCTGCTTTGGATTGGCTCCTGCAGTAACTGGAAGGGTAACTGCCCCCAGTGGATGTACTTTATCACCTGAAAATCCCACCAGTGGTGATTTCATGGGTCGGAGCTTCTCTCGGCCAATTTTCAATTTCTCGTATGCCTAGGGGGTCATCATGGGGCTGGTGAATTCCCTTGTTATCTTCTTCAGAAAAGGTTATGACCGGCTCCTCAACTCGAGGTAATTTTGTTGGAGGATTTGTCATTCCAACTTCATTCACCTCTGAAAAACTCCGAATACTCCTAACATGAGCCCTCCGAGCCGAACTCGTCTCACCACCACCAGCGAAGCCACCCGATGTAACTTTGATCTCACCTATTGGTTGATGTTGAGGAGGGCGATCATCTCGGCCCTCCCGGGCTGGGTTGGAGCCTCATTTTCCATTTCCAGTTGTGAATTTGCGTAAATGACCTTTACGAACAAGGTTTTCGATCTGGTTTTTGAGGTCGAAACAATATTCTGTATTATGTCCATGGTCCCGGTGAAACCTACAGTATTTA